AATATTAATTTGACAAGCCTAATCTATTTTTTACATCTCTAAAAAAAATAGGAGCAAATTTGTTGACAAAATTTTACCATAATTTGAAATTCCCTCTCAAATTGGGGATTCCCAAAATTTTGCCCTAACCCTTCTACGTTTCTCATCTCAATCTCACACACAACTCCTTCCTCTCATTCCTCCTCCCTCACGGACGATTTTGGGTAAATCCAAAGTCGCCACCGCCGACTATTACATGCTCACCAGGTAAGGTGGTCTCTCTCTGTCTCTCTCTCCAATTTCTAAACCTTATCTTCTATATGTTTTTGAATGGGTTTCTAAAATGGGTATATTCGATATCTGATTTTTTGATTGGATTTCTAACCCTAGCCATCTTCGTGAGCTCCTTTTTGCTATTAGGTTTGAGTTAAAAGTTCTGATGTTGAGGATTTGAGAAGATGTTTTCTCATCTTTGAGAAAACCCTTATTATTATTGTTGTTAGGTTTATATTTGTAATTCAGCTATTATGTCACTAATTTATTACCAATCCTTTGTTTTTATTGCCCAGTTTTGGCCATATATCTCATAGACATTGTTCTCAACGTATAGAACTTTCTGTCTTATTATATTTGGTTTCCTTCACCTTTTTGTTTCGGAACACATGAATAGTAGGAGTTTGATTTGTAGTTTTTTTGAATAATTCCCCCCCCAAAGGATACATTATTGAACAAAGTCTTTTTTTTATATATTTTTCCAGGTGTGACTGCTACTGTTTTGGAGTTTTGAAGACCATTAGAGCCTCATGGTTTTCATGGTGATTCACTTCCTCTCCCTCTCTCTCTAGTTAAAATCGAGTTAATTGCAATTAAAAGTACAAAATTGATGCAAAAGGCAGAGTACATGACATAGAATTTACCTTTGAATCATTGTAGATGATTCGAGTGGGGTCACTGTGCTTCATTAAGGGAATTTCATACTTCTTTTGTAATCTTTTCTTTCAAGGTCAAGTTTAACGGAGATCAGATGGTCCCAAAAACTCCAAAAGAAAATAATAGCAAATACTTTTCACTAAAATGACGAGGTTTTAATATAAGATTATAGATGGCTACTAGAATGACATTATGTTGTTTTTCAGGCATTTCACATATGCGTTGCATAAAATATTCTTGGATTTTTTTTGTCCTTATAAATATCCACTATTCAAAAGGATATTTGATGATAGGCATGTCGATTAATTATGCGTTATACGGTAATATTCAGTCGCCATCAGCTCACACCAATGTGCTAAAAAGATATGTGATGAGCCTAGCAGCTAGCATAATTGGTTTAAAAACCAATGAATGAATAGCAAAATAAGCCAAAGTGAGTTAATTTTCCTATGATTTTTTTAGCTTGTTTTCAATTATTGCTAATACATAGTATTCTTTATCGGCCTTGTTTAATTTGGAATCCTTTTAAAGTTGTTGGTAGTGATTCTGAATGGACATCTATTTGTACAAGGTCACATGGGAGAAAATGGGAAATTGATACGGATTAAGAACAGAAGAGAAAAGAAAAATGACAAAATGAATGAAGAAAAATAAATGTAGGAAGGGGGGTGGCTGATTGTTTGTGTTTGCATGACATTGTCAATTCTTCCTTAATGGGTTTAATTTGTTTTATTTTTCTCTATTTGGTGTTAATTCTAGAAGTAGGTTTATATATGTTCTTCCTTAATGGGTTTAAATGTATTTTTTTGAAAATAGATGTGTTTTTAATGTTTATAGATTTTACATGTTATGGTGGTTTGGTAGAATTTAATTGAGCTCATTACCATTGTTGAATGTGACAATGGAATGTGTGGAAAGTGAAACATATATTTTCCCCTATTTGAAGAATGAGTGAGATTCTTGGGTGTGCAAAAGTGAGATTGTACATGGTATGGTAATTTATCAAAAATAATAATAATAATAATAATAATAATAATAATAAAATTTGTATATGGTATGGAATATATGAGTTTAATATATAGAATATCTCTTTGAATTTTAGGATGGTTGGATTTTTGTTGGAATAGTTGAAAGTCTTCTTCTTATGGAATTTTTTGATCAACATAGAGTTGGAACTTGGCCGTGTAAGTTACGAGTGGACCAGTGTGAAACTTTTGCTTCATACTTTATTTGTATTTGCTACAAAGTTTGGTTTTACAATGGAAATGCAGCTCCTAGGGACTAGTTTTTAATAGGATGTTCAGACAAAATTTTAAGAAACTTTAGCAGAAATTATTGGGATTTTTTTTTCCGTGAATGGTCTAAAAATTCTGGAAATACTATATAGAGGCTTGTAAGAAACTTTTCAAACATGTTGGGAAACAATGGAAAATGCTCCCCACAAAATCATCTCTTTAGCTATACTCCTGAAGCATTTTTTCCTTTTTCAATTAGACTTCTTACTACTTTTTAAATTATTTCGTATAGTTTTAATATGACATTTTTTTGCTGAGGGTTGAGTGATGTTAGCCCTATATTTCTTTGCTTGAGTGTTTACTTTTTGGGCACTCGATTGTGATAGAATCACAAAAGTTAAATATCACTCTACGACTGAGCTAAGTTTGGGTCTTTGCCAATTTGTGATTTAATTTCCTATTTTCTGATATTATTTTGGTTCCTTGCCAATTGAATTCTGGACTTATGCTGCTGTTTTGATAATTTTTTTTGGTGTTCTATTTTGTTGAGGAGAGGGAGGTGTATTATTGTTTTATTAATTATTTATGTTCAAATTTTTTTCTTGCCCTTATTTGAAAAAATTAACAGATTGACAAGTCAAACCTTCCTCTTTGGATTTAAATCTAGAAACAACTTGTTTTCAATCAAAAGCTGCTACAACCCATGCTTGCTATTAGCTTATTTATTTATTTGAGGCATAGGCAGGATAGAATAGGACTTGTTTTTAGCCTCAAAGCATGTCTTACTCAGGTTACACAATTATTGTTGGGGGTTATACCCATCCAATTTATTTTCTTGCTAGGCCTGTAACATAATCTGATATCAGTTTTTGACCATATCAGCAATTCAAATTTTGTTATTTCAACCGACTTATTTAACTATTATATGGACCTTTCAAGAGCCTTTGAGGCACTTTGACCAGTTTGAAAACATAAAAGACCTTTGTACCAAAATTTCCTGCACATTGGCTTCTCAATAGTCCACTTTCAAAGCTCATAAGTGTCAGTGAATTTCAAACCACAATTTGAAGTTTTTACAGCACCTATCTGTAGACGTCCCCGAACGTTCCGGGAAAAATCCTGTTTTGTTTATTGGGCTCACTACAGTTCGGACTCGATGTCACGGTTCTGAATCTGATCTCACAAAGTGCAATGCAAGATCGATAAATCACCAAAGAGTCCAAATCCGGCAAATCGTTTTGAAAAATTGATTTTTAGAAAAAGTGCCAAACATGGACTGCTTTGCCAGATACAAAGTCACCACCTAAATATTTTATTTTTGAGAAATTTAGGAAACCCTGACTCGTGCCTAAGGCCACGTGTCCGTCATCACCAAAGTTGTCTCGGCTCGAGAACTTGGTACGATTGGGGAAGGTCATGCAATGAGCACCCCCGCTCGCCCGATCAAAGATCGGCCACTACTAAACATGATATCGAGTTTTTGAAAACACATGCATTCTTATTCTGGTTTATTAGCCTTGGATTACTATGTGATGCACACAGCATACAAATATAGACTAGATCGCCTGAGTTGGAACAAAACATTTCATGTTTGTTTATTTGAAAATGGTTTGATGGTGCTACTCGCAAGTAGGCTAAGATGTTGATTTTGCCACCTTCAAGTGGGCTTAGAAAACATGGTGATTTGCCACTCTCAAGTGGGCATAAAACTCGCAATCGATGAATTGTTCCAATTTAAATAATCCAACCTTCACCCACAAGCATTCAGGCAGCTATATCACATAAGCAGTTAGCCTCATGGTAAGCATGCTATCATGGCAGTCACTCACACACATGCAAGGATGCTAAAGCATAAACACTTACCGAGTACTCCGAGCCAAAGAAAGAAGCTAATTAGAAATCATGCATGAATCTTAACTATGCTAAGCATGCCTAATGCAACACATGCAAAAATGCAACTACAATAGGCTCAGCTATTCTAAGATGGCATATGAGATGCAACAATCGATACATGTATTCAACTTGGAATTGAAATACAATGCAGTTAGCATGATGCACCGAGCCCGGTGCATGCAAGATAAATAAATGGATGCAAACATGAGAGCATAAGTATGCTAATTGAAACGTGCCCTAACTAACCATCATAAGCTGGTAAATAAAAGGGAGAAAGACGTGGGGTTGGAAGACATGCATCACACACACGCACACTTATTACAACATTGCCCTCTTCAGAGGGTCCGAATGAATAGTACAGAATAAACTAGCTAATCTAAGCTAATTAAATTAATTATTACACAACATTAATTAATTAACAAATTAACTAAGTAAGGAAACTAGCATGCAAATTAAACAAAATGGACTGCCTCAGCTCTGTTCCGAATGATAGGGATGCATGCATGCTCAAGTCGTCTTGTCGGGAAATCCATCGCGATGCCCCGATTTGCCTCTGTTTGCAGCTGGTCCCAGAACACTGTACAAAGCTCCAGAAGGCTGCTGACCAGTTTTTGCTACTGGTTTCCGGTTTGCTGCAACAGAGAGCGAGAAAGGGGCATGGCAAAGTATTTTCAACATGTGTGCATAACCACTCTCCCCATCATTGCACAAGCTCTAGGGAGTGTAGTCCTCGATCCTTGTGCCACCAATCACGCATCTCGATGCATGATGGCCGAGGAGTCGGATTGCACGACTCAATGTAAAATGAATGCACATATAAACACAACAAGGCCTAAACTCCATCATGGGTAATCCAGAGTGTCGGCGACTGAGAATCGAGGCACGTTTCGTCACTTGGAGTACGAAGTGTCCCTCATTTCTCGTGTTTAGATTAAACCCTATTCCAAACACAATGCAATATACATGGCATACACAATACGACTAGCATGCAACCCTAAACGCAATGCAACCTAATCATGCTAGCATGCGAGGGATGATATGCAAACATGCAACTAGCATACACAATGCTGTGCACTAAGAATGGCATACTCAATGCACATGAACTATATGGCATACTTGATGCACATACGAAAATGGATATGCACGAAGATATGAACAAGGCATACACAATGCGACGATCAAGCATGCGACAACATGGATATGGCGTACATAATGCAAGATGGACTTAAACAAAAATGAATGGGCCTCAGCCACACTCAAATCAGTGGCCATACATGATGAAAATGAAGCAACAACACACATGCAAACATGTACAAATGCAAGGGACCAAACCTAAGTCACAAAGTGCAACTTCACCAAAGCATGGTAAGCATGAAATATGGCATATAATCACATATTTTCTAGCTCTGAAATGACATGCAAGATGGTCCCGAATCATGCAAACACCTCACACAATGCATGCTAGATGGCTCAAATACCGAAACTAGTGAAGTGGTTTACACTATAGGCATGCAAAGCAATACTCAAATGGCCAAACCATCCCCAAATAGTCCCTATGCAGGCCAAAACAGTAGCAAATATGGACTAATGATGGCTCGCAAAGCATGGAAATGAAACTCATGCAATGGTCCAAAAATGAGGTATTCATGCATAACTCTCAAACACATTTAAAGAATGGAGGACATGGGAATATGACATACATATAAGCTCTGAAATATGATTCACAATGATGCCAAAACATGGAAACACCTCAATAT